GTATAGAGGCTTTGCCCCGGGAGGTCCTGGTTGTCGTTGATGGGCTGCAGCTGTGATGCCCTTAATTGGGCTGCAGCTGTGACCAATGAAGAAAACTGGGATAAAAGGGGGTGGGTTAGCCAGTCAGGGAGAGCCTTGGAGGAGCCCTGAACTGGGAGAGAACAGCATGCAGAAGAAGGGGTCTGTGCTGTGAAGATCTGCAGCCATGAGAACACACTGAGGAGGTATGGACTTTAGAAATCTGATAACAACAGTATGGGACTCTAGAAATAGAACAACAACACTACATCTTCCAATTGCAGTCATAAAAATAAAAGAAGGAACTACAGAAAATTCTCCCAAGTCCCGTCCGGAACTCCCTTAAGTTACTGTGATTTTCAGTTTGTAGTTCAAACCCTCCTGCTTGCATTTCAAGGGCTATGTTAAAAGAATACTATTTTTGAAGTATGCAAAGGTTTCTTTTTATTAGGAGGCAGCTTTCTCAAATATCTGTTTTCAGTAGAAACACTATAATAATGAGGTACTGACATACAAGTGTCCTTGATCTTCGGTACTTGTACTCTTCACAGGGCAGCCTGACAGCAGATCCCTCTGATACACAACCTAAATTTGGGTTCTACTGCCATTATCCACAAGTGTTCTAGATGCAGGTCCTGGCAATCATGAACAGGATTATTCAGGGCTTTTCTCTCTCTTGTCAGAAACCATGGGATGAGTAATTGTCCCTCCAGCCTCAAGTGATGTGCCTGTCTCATTGTCCAGCACTTGGCTGCAGTTACTGAGGGTGTGGGACCATCACAAGGTCACTGAGCAATCTATTGATCAGTGTTACAGAAATTTGGCAAAGATTTAAATATTTTTTGCTCAGATATTCTTGCTTCTTTTAGTTCCTTTTGTATCTCTCTTCTCTCCATGTTTATCATGCTTTCGGTAATTGCATTTCTTACTGGTTTTGTAAGATACAGGTCAAAATGCTCAATTGGATTTTTATTTAAAATTTGAACCTTTTTGATCTAGAAGTGTCTTGGTTTCAGGAGTGAATAGCTGAGAAATGCCAATGTTGCTTTTTTATAAAGCAATGTTTGTTTTATAAAAAAAGCAATATTTGAGTTATATTTCTTATAACTCAAGAGGAGCTGATGATAAGAAATTAAATTAGAGATTATTGATGTACTTCTTTTGGAAATAAAAATAATGCTGCTGAGTGTGCATGGATGTGTTGTATTCTAGTATGAGGAAAAACTGAAAATAAGCAAAAAGTGAGAGCAATCAATACAGATAGTTCTATTCCTCCTGCTTTATGTGTCTTTATTTTGTAAATTCATTTAAATTAGGACAACTGTTAACATTAAACTACCTTGGTTAATGTAATTTCCATTCATAGCACACACATGATTGTAATTGTCAATCTGCATTAGATAGCAGTAGAAGCTGGACCAGAGATGACCATAAAACACAAACATCATTGTCAGAGTGATTTGGATAATTTGTCAGAAAAGCTGTTCATAGAAGCTTTCACTTTAATGGCTTTTTAGGCTGTTTAGAAGTTGAGGCTCTTTAAGCATTCTGGATTTGTTTGGATGTATGCAGTACTCCATAGGATCTGAAATACAGCAATTATATACTTGTTCTGTTATTTCTACTGGTGAATAACCCATTATTTCTGAGAGTTTTCTTCTCTCCAGTCAGCACAGTCAGTGAGACAGTTGAGTCTCAGCAGAGCAGTGGGGTTAACATTATCTTGTGCCTCAGCAAATTTGGAAGGAGGAGAAATTCACTCATGTCACATTTACTTGAGTTGATGGTGACTTATTCTTGGGGTTTTTTTAATTGATGGGAAAAACAGTGAGTTTTTTAAACTGCCTTAACTCTCTGCATATTGTCAGTCAAAGACAGTGATGTTTTTGACAAAAAAAAAAAAAGAGAACCAAACCCAGGATGTTCTTTTACACAGTAACAGCAACAAACCAATTGTGTCCAAAGCAGTGCACAGCCCATGCCAGCTCTAGCAAAGCTGTCTGCATTTACAGGTGACATGTGACAATGTCACAGTGGTTGGTCTGTGCACACCACTGAGGCCATCCTTCCATGGGAGCTGATACACACACCCTCTGCAGAAATACTGCCCAAATAAACATGGCATGAACTTTGAATCCTGTGCAAGGAGAAGAGCAAGAGCTGCTTCATTTCTGTACCTCTGCTGGTGGCGTTAGAAGCTCAGGGTAAAGCACCCAGCACCAGCATAAAACTGACTGAACACACATGTCCTCCAATCCACACCACCAGGAGGAGCTCAGGATGCAATGTTTGCAATGGATGCAGAGTGCCAGATTAAATTATATTCCATCCATTTCAGCCTCTGTACTTTCCTGTTGCTCTTATGGATGAAGGTTTCTGCAGAGTGTAGAAAGTGAAATCTTAGTGTGATAAGTGCAGAATCTGCATTAACTTCAGTGGAGCTGGGACTTTGCCTTCAAAGTCCTGGTACTTCTCTAATTCTATATATATTCTTTCTAGCTTTGAAAAGCCAGCCTTTGTCATCTTCTTTGTCACTTATCTGTGCCATATCATACAAGGATGTTGGCTGTCTCTGATGGAAATTTTGGATTTTTTTTCCCAATTGCATGAAGTCATACCCTGAAAAAGTAAATTCAAAAAGTGATGTGAGTAGTTTTACTAGCAGGAAACTCATCACCTGGCAAAGTTGTACCATCATCAGCTCAATCACACAGATGGCCCCTTCTTTCTTAGTCTTAAAAGGAAGTCCATGATGTTTTATGAAAACAGAAACAAAGTTCAGACAACAGCTGGATTACACAATGCATGTCTTAATTTATTTATTGTTTTTTACTGCTAGTCAGGGAGTTCTGCAAGAGGTGACTGCCATTACTGGCTGCATAGTTTCATATTAATTGCAACTATGAATATATGATCAGTTATCATATGGAAAAATAAACCTTGCTATCCTGCATCACTGATGATGAAAAGATATTTAGGCCCTTCATATTTCATTTTTACATTTCATTTTTAAGCTCTTTATAAGGTTACTGGAAGTTGCTGTCTAGAGGACATAGTTTATTCAGTCATTTAAGGTGAAGGGTCAATAAAATACTCTAAAAGTTGCTTCCTAAAATGTAGCTATACATGTATAACAGTAGATTTATTGTGCAGAATGTTTCTGTGCAGTGTCTTGTCTCAGAGAGTAAAGCCTGCCTGCAAGCAAGTGTTTCCATATGAAATGTCCATTTCTGTGCAATTATGTCTGTGTCAGAAAAAATGACAGTTTAGGTGATACATTTTATCAGCTCAGTTTAGTGATATCTCTGCTGGGTTCTCACCATGTCAGAGTTTCTCCTTAGCTTCTCTGGCATTTGACCTACTCATTGCTATCATTCATTTGTGGGCCAAAACAAACTTAGTGTTTTCTACCTTGTAAACCACCACAGTATTTTGAACAGAAAAGAGATCTTGTAAACAGGGTGTCCCTCCACTGAGTCTCTAAATGGAGGCTTTTCTTTTTTCATATGTGATTAATTTGTATGTTTTCTTTTGTTTCTCTTTAAATACTGTAATTTTGTGTAATTTTAAAATCCAGTTTAGATTTACAAGCATGTAATGTCTTTAATGTCTTTTGAATTTGAATTGTGTTCTGGGGCTCACTGCTGAAGAAGGACAAAATCACAACATCTCTATTCTTTGAATAGCACCATTATCATTCTATGCTGATGAAATTATTTCAGTATTACAAGAAATGAGGTTTTGGAATTCATTCAGTATTACAGGGAATTGGATTGTAACTAGAGCATATTTCAAGAAGAATAAAAGGATCCATGATATGTGCTTAGCTCGTAAAGCACCTAATCCTATATTAATTGTGCTTTGGGCAAATCTGCCCTCATCTGAAGGGGACTTTGACAGTGAAGATGAAAATATTGTAATGCTTTTTAAGGCCAAACAGCTCCTCCAGTAGGATGACAGTGAAAGAGGAGTTCCACAGGCTGCTCTTCCTGCCCTTTCCTGCCCCAAGCACACACAAAAGCAAACAATGCTGTGTTGTACTGTCCTTTATAGGCTGCAGGAGACTTGGCCTCATGTTACCACAAGATCTTCTTGCTCTTGGGATTGAGTTTGTGTTAATTTTTTTCCCCATGTTTGGACAGGGAAAGATCATAGAGGCATTTAGGTACCACAATCTGAAATTGAGTAAGTCTTATGTTTTCTCTGTGTCTGTTGTGCTACAGACAAGAAAACGTGAAGGTGTCCATTCCAGCCCAGGTGGAATGTGATGCAGAAAGGACGTGGTTTATGTGAGGGGAGAGCTCTGCTGCCTTGTCTGGAGAGTGAGCATCACAGTCAGATGCAAATTAGGGTTAGGAGATATTAGTTCAGCTTCAACCATGAGGTGTCTGTGAGGTGGTAAATGGAGAGGATTTCTGCTGAAATTATTTTTGAGGGCTTTGACCAGTCTGGCAAGCTCCTTCCTCTGTGAAGGGCTGGGTGGACTTCACTTTTCCTGAATCTACATGACATAGCTTGAGGGTAGCAGGATTAAAAAGGTGATCATGGATGTGATTGTGTGCCTGAAATGCAGCATGCAGTGATTTTCTCAGTTCCACTTTGGAGAGTTTGGCCAGCTTTACCAGCTTCAGCATTTTGCCTGTCACCATCCTGTTTGTTCTGTGGTCAGATGAAGTCTCTTGCCAACAGTAATTTCCCTTTTGGTGTGGAGCTGTAAGGAAAGCAGTTGCCATTTGAGGTCACTGAGCTGCACTGGGGGCCTCTCCTCTGCTGCAGAGCTGCTTAAGCTCTGTGGAACTCACCTGCAGCTCTGCAGGCTGCTGAGCTCTGCATGTGGGGCACTTGGAGTGTTCAGCTGAGCACAAATAGGCAGAGATTGGGGACTTACACCAACACAGCTGTACTCAAGCAGAGCTTGTTTTTCTACCTGTCTTGGGGTGATTTTGCAGAAATCAATAATCAGCACCTTTGTTTCTTTGCAGCCTGTTCCAGCACTACTGCTACACTCGCGGCGGCATGCGCCACACCTCCTACACTTGCATCTGTGGCAGGTAAGAGGATGATTTACACTGAGCTCTGCAGGCTTCATAGTCAGCTTCCCCCTGGGTATTTGTAAAATTGGTCCTTTTAGGCATGCCATGTGTTTGCAAATGGCACCAGAGTGAGTTCTGACCTGTTTTCACTGGAAAAGACAAAGAGAGGTAGGTGGTTACCTGTCTCTCCTGAAGACATAACGTGGCAATAGAGTTTGCTGCACTCCAGAGGTTCCCCAATGGCTGCTCCTGCTGCTGCCAAGATCCTGTTTCTGCTCACCCCTGTGCTGCACTTGGCTTTTTTTGTTAAATAGCACCATGGAGAGGGGCTTTACAGCTATTCTCTGTTGCTCAGAAATACTTTCTTTGAAATACACCTTAAGCATTTCTTATCATCCTCTAAGTTCTTTGTCTCAAAGATTAGGATGCAATTAAACTAATCTCTTTGGAATTTGGAATTTTTTGTTCTCTCTGCTTCTTGCTGAACAGCTAGTGTTGAAGGTTACTGTATTTGGGAAAGTAGTATAAAAGTTCTCCCTGCAGTTGTAGAAATGCACAAGAGAACAGTGTGGCACACATGCTGAAGAACAGCTGTGTGCTTCATGCAGAGATTAATCTTACTTAGTGGAATTAATCTAATCAGAGATGTATGACAGTGAAATGAGCCATATATGTTGGTATATATGTTCCACTTGTTCTGCTGCTACTCAGAAATATTTGCCCTACACTGAAGTCACATACACTTACAAAAGATAATTTTTATGTTAATGACAATAATTCTATATTGCTTTGAAGGTAATAAGAACAATTAGCACCTTCACTTCTTTCTGCAGTTTACTCAATTGCTTATTTGTAAATGCAATTTTCCAATTTATATGCAAAATTGCAGCAGGAGCATGAGCAGTTTTATGGCAAATTGTGTATCTAAATTGTCTGAAAAGTTTCCTGGTTTAAGTACCATTGTATAACTTGAGAATTAACATCCCAGTGAAATGAGACTCCATCTCTAAGCTTTTGTCATAGACAGTGATGATGTGATTTTCAAAGCCATGCAGACTTCACACTCACTTGGAGTGGATCAGAACCTGTGTTTGGGTGCTGGTGGCCAAATCACTTTGCTAAAGCTACAGAAATGTCTGGTCAGTGTTTGTGTGGTGGGGACAGGCTGAACTCTCCACAGGACTGCATCACCCCCAGGAGGAGGAAAGCTCCAACAGCAGCTCAGAACTGGGTGCCCACAGGAGCTCCCTGGGTGTCCTGCCCTGCTCTGCAGGGATGGGGGTGGAATTAGAGTTGCCTCTGAGCTATTGAAGGATTTAAATCACAGAGAAGGGCTGTCCTTGGAATGCCATATCCAAAAAAACATTTTTTTATTAGCAGCTGCCGTTGTATCCTACCACTAATAGTACAGCCAAACCTGATTTAAAAAATATAGTTACATGAGATAGCAATTTACAGGCAAAGGTCTTTGTATTCTATGTTCTGACTATGAGTGATGAAGTAAGAATGAATAATATTAACAGTTTTAAGCTAGCTCCTAATAAATGAATTAATTCAATTAACATAATAATGGCAAAAATAATAGACATTTTTTAATGCTGTGAAAATGTCATGCATTGTAAATATTTCACTTAACTACATTTACAGCTAAAAATAGCTTTTGCAATTAGGATTTTTGAATGTTTTATTCTATTCATGCTGAATTTTATATTTTCCTGAACACTTAAAATGGGCATATTTTGACAGGATCTTTCCTTTTTAGATTACAGGCCTGATAATATTTTCCATAGAAAAGAATAATCCTTTTAAATAAAAAACAAGTTTGTTTTCTTTTTTTTTTAATATGCTGATTAAGCTGAAAATCAGGAGTAATCAATACAATATTTCAGTACAGAAATAAATCACTTGTCATGTGATGGGTGCATTTAGTTATTGCTGTCCCTGTGCACTGTTACGTTCTTGAGGAGATGCTAATGAATATTTGGTGTGACCAAAAGTGCTCCATGTGTTGACTGTTACTATGAGGATAGTAACACACATTGCTGAGTGTGACAGGGTGTTACCTTTTGACATCAGTCCTGCAGTCAGTGATGCTTTCAAAAGCTGCCAGCTGAGGAGTGGATTGAAGTGCAGACATCACTGAGTGTCATGGAAGGAGAATAGGAACATTTGTTAAGCACACTCCAAATGCTAATGAATTATTCACTGCAGTGTCAGGATACCAAGGAACCATTTTTACAAATGGGAAAACAAAGGTAACCCATTCCCATGTCCTGGTGATGCTAGGGTGGGTGGCATCCATTGGGAGCAGAGGTTCCAGCTGGAGTTAGGTGGTGGTGGAGGCATTGGTATCTCTGGAACCACCACAGAAACCACCAGCAGCTGCTGCTTGTTGCTCTCTCATCTTAGAATCAGGTTCAGATCTCCTTGGCTGATGTCTCTGGGCAGATGCCAGCTCTCATCCAGTGCTATCAGTCATCTAGAATAACCCTGTGCAGTGGAATGCCTTCTTCTATCTGAGGGTTGCCAAAGTGAAGCTTTTTGGACCAGGTTAGGATATTATTGAATCAGCTTTTCTTTCTTTAACTTCAGTACAAGTTTTTTAGATCCCATGCCTTAGACACAGAAGTAGCAAGAAGGGTTAATGCTTTCTTCTGAGTTGATTCTATGATGATTTAAATCATGATGGAAATAGGTCAGCTTTAGTCAATGATCTTTGTTTTTTCTTTAGATGTCCTTAATACAGAGCTACTAGCTACACTTTTTGTAGTGCTGGATGCTCAGCATAGTCCTGTTCTTAAAATATTGCTGACATTTCTCTTCTTTCTTCTAATGATTTGTTTTCAGGATGCTTTCTGATCTCAAATGCATCTTGGGGGATTGTTTTCCTTTGCTAGTAATCAGAATCTCTTGCTACATTTTGCATTCTCAGTGGTGTTAATTTGCAGCTCTTCTGCTGCTTTGTGCAATTCTTTCTGGAACAAACATGTCTTTGACACCAGTTAGAAGCAAGTTATTAAAGGAATAAAAATGGATACACAGGAACCTCTTGGAGGATTTTTCAGGTTGGCTGCCTGAATGTGAGCATTGGCATCCTCATGTGTGGTGATTGTCAGAGGTGCTGACCAAAAGAAGGCAGGAAAGCCAGTGATCCTCACCTCCCACAGCATTTCATCATAAACTGCAACTTGGCGCTCCAGTGCTAGACCTTGCAACTGTTGCCTCTTGGAAAAGAAGGAAGTAGCTTCTAAATGAAGGCTCATTTGCTTTCATTTGCTTGAGTGATAAAGTTCTGGAATGTTCTGCCCAGAGAGGTGGTGGAGTCCCCATCCCTGGGTGTGTTTAACAAAGCCTGGATGTGGCACTGGGTGCCAGGGTTTAGGTGAGGTGTTGGGGCTGGGTTGGACTCCATGCTCTTGAAGGTCTCTTCCAACCTGGTCATTCTGTAAATTCTGTGCTTTGCCAGTGGCTTGGGGTTTTATTTGACTTGTTTTAAGGCTACCTTGAAAGGCTTACTGAATCAGTGTGAGCAATTTCTGGCTAACTGTAGCATTTACCTTGTGGGTACACATCATTTCTGCAGCATTGCTCCAGAAGCATCTTCCTGCCTTCATCTCAGGACAGGGGTAAAGATGCAGCCTGCAGGGGAGATTGGATGTGCTCTTAGCAGGATCCCACTGGAGGTTTCCATATGTCTGTCTTAATTTGGGTCAGTAGTGCATGTCTGAGTCAAGCTCTCCCACTCATCCTCAGCTGCAGGGCCTGCTCAGAGCCAGGGGTCAGTCCTTCAGTGCACATGCTGGTTTTGTTTTGGGGGGAAAAGCACTTGGGGAGCTTTCAAGAGCACGTTGGCTCTGCCTGGTTGCTAATGGGTGGTGAGCCCAGGGTGTCTGCCCAGAGCCAGCCAGGGGAGCAGACCTTCTCATGCCAATAAATCCCTGAAATGCAGATGGTGTGCAGATCTGGTCTTCAGCACCAACTGTGCTCTCTGTGCTGTGATCCCCTGTGTGTGACAGAGCCAAGATGTGCCTGACAGATCAGGAGCCTCCAATGCCAAGAAAGATTGTGCCTGCTTAACGCTTCACCAACGGTGCTGAAAAACAGATCCTTCATGCAGCTCCCCTCACAGTTGGTGCTGAGCCTCACAGAAATATTTTGTAAACTAAAACCTTTACATTAAAATGTGCAAAAGAAACCCCTCATCTTTGTATTTGCAATGTGTTTTGTTGAAAGCATTTGTGCAGTTGTCAAATTTGAGTATATGACTTATTTATGCACTGGTATGGTGTTTGTCATTGAGGGTGCCAGCACATCTTGGTAAGTAAATGAGCTGTCTGCAAATCCATAAGCATGGACTCATGCCCTTAAGGTTCATGACAGTTAAAAAAAAAAATAAAAATATATATATATATATATAAAACATGCATATATATATAACATGCACATATCTATATTTATATATATAGATTTTTATATATAGATTTTTTTATTTATATATAAATATATGCATGTGCTGTTTGATTTTCCTACTTTATCCCCAGTATTGGAGGGAGATAAGGAATAGTATCTGCAGCTAAAATCCTGGCAAACTGCTGTGGAGTATGGGTGTGCATGCCAGCTGTTGAGATGGAGACAATACAAAGCAGCACACCCCATTTTCAGAAGGCTTCAAGCTGTTTTTATTCTAGCATGCATGCTTTTTATACATTCTTTCAAAGCTCATAAGTTTACACTTTACTCATTGGTCAGAAGAGACAAAAAAGTGCTTACTGGAATAGGCAGTTGCAGGTTTCTCTTATTTATCCTTTTTTCTTTCTTGGTTTCTATGTCAATGACCTTGATAGAAAATTCTTTCAGGGGTAAACATGGATCCTCTCATCAAACTTCTCTCTGGCTCACAGAAGTCTCTGTAAAACCTCTTCCACAGTTGGTGCTTTTTATTATTTCCTGTGTGTTCCCTTAAACACCAAGCAGTGTTATGCAAGGTCATTCCATTACTTCCACATGCCATCCTCCCAAGGTTTTAGCCCTGCAGGTGGGAAGCAGCTCCTGATGCAGGGGTGCTGCTGACAGAGCAGGGCAGGAGCTCTGCTCCCCTGTCCCCTGCTGGGAGAGCTCAGCTGGAGCACAGCTCCCACTGCTCACCCTGCCTGCCACAGACACCTTTGCTTTCCATTGCACTCCATTGCTCTACTACAGATCTTTTCTTCAGATAGAGCAAACTAATTTTGAAAGTGTCCTGGTGTGGAAAATATTCCAACAGTGCCCAGGAGACAGAACATCTCAGGAAGAAGTTTATATCTGTCTTCATCTTGTATACAGGGTTTCTGGGTCCATTTTTAGCTATCTGCACAGCTGCAGAGGTTCTCAAGTCCAGCATGCAGCAAGGAAAAAGCAGCCAGCCAGTTGTGAAACTGTGCTAAGCCATTGGACCAGCATCACAAAATGAATGTGTTGCAGCCTTAGTTCTTAGGGCTTTTAACTCTTGATTTAACAACTTTTAACTTTTCTAATTTTTCTGTTTGGAGTGTGTGTAATTTTACGCAGTAAACTTTGTATCAGAAAATCATCCCTGTGATTCTGAAATATCACCTTTCACTGTCTTATTGCATAGTTAAAAGTACTTAACAATAAATACTTCCTGTCTTAACACATTCAGGCTGTAAGAGCCCTCTGAGATCATGCAGTCCATCCATTAACCCAGCACTGCCAAGTTCACTGCTGAACTGTGTCCCCAGGTGCCACAGCTACATGCATTATTAAATACTTCCAGGGACACAGTCCAGCCCTTTAGATAGGGAGCCTGCAGAAACCTACTACTTTCTACTCCATAATCATTGTTTATGAAATTATCTGTATGACTGATGATCTGTTAAATATCTAATATCACAAGTACTTAATGTGTCTTGAAGGTAATATCTTTTTGGATACAGTGCATGCTTACTGTTTTTGTAATTGCACACATCACAAGTCTAAGATGAGAAGTATGTCAGATGTCACATTTACTCCAGACACAACAAAAGATTGATTGAAATTGAGCCTCAGATTCCTGACATCCAAGATACAAAGCTGTTCCAGCACCACAGCTTGAAAGAACCAAATTTGAGCAGGGTGACCAGGGAAAGGTTCTGATTAAAGCTGGGGTACAGACTGGCAGGTGAGCTGGAAGGGCTGGAGAGAAGCTGCAGTAACCCTGTCCCAACATGGGTATTTTTGGATGTGATGTAATTCTTGCAGCTTTGTGAAGAGAAAAAACGAGAGCATCTATCTGAAGAGAGCAGTAAAAGAAAAATAGGTAGAGCTTGAGATCTTTATCAGCCTTTTAAACTGACATTTTATAGACCCAGAGGAATATCAGTAGGCAAGAGAGGATGCCAAGGCCAAATGTAGGTCACTTAGTGGATCATGGAACTTCAGAACAACAGAACAAGTGTCCATCCTTCTCTGGAGCTGTTTCATTCTTGTGAATCAGCAGTTTACTCTGAAAGGTTTCCAGGAATAAATATCTTTTCTTTGTAATGTGATTTTTCAACAGCAGGTAAGAAGAGAGTGACAGTTTTCATCCCTGCTCCTCTGCTGGCATTGTGGGCTGGGAGTGTTCCCCAAGCAGTGCATCCCTGCAGCAGAGCCCAGCTGTGGCCATGCCAGGGGGCAGCTGGAGCTGTTCCCTCAGACAGCTCAATTCCTTCTGTCCCAGTGATTCCTAGAGTGTTTCAAATGTCAGATTTTACTGCAGGGGAAGTTGGTTTGGTTTATGCCTCAGACTGCTTAACCTTGAATAGGGAAAACCAGCACTAAGTAATTAAAAAAAAAAAAAAACAAACAAAAAAAACTCATCAGAAAATAATAAATAGGTATAAATTGAAAAATTACTTGCACATAATTCTTTGCTTTACAGTGTCCTGGACAAAGGAAATGTTGATATGAGCTATGCCATGTTCCTTCTGCAGCCAGGTCCTGCCCTACAGCCAGAGTAGCAGAATTCCTGAGCCATGCCCAACTCTGCTGCACGAGTGCTGGGGTGGCTGCTGCAGCCCCAGCAGGCAGGGACTGGGCCAGCTCTCACAGGCTGCTTTTTATGTGAATGCCTTGATGCTTACAGAATTCCTTCTTATATCACATGAATGTGTGTGTTAATGTTTCTTCTTCCACTAATTGTGCTAATTTTCTGTTTGCCCATCAGTGGGGAGAACTCAGCTGTTTTGCACTATGGCCATGCTGGAGCCCCAAATGATAAAACTATTGAAGATGGAGACTTATGGTAAGTAAAGGGTTACTGTTGGTTTGGTATTTTTGTTTTGCTGCTGCTGTTTCCATACAGGAAAAAAGGATATTTTCCGTTCTTAGAAAAAGGATAACTGCATACTGATAAAAAGTCTAAAGCTTTAAAATAAAAGGGAGCTTTGCATGCCAGATTATTCTGGTTTCTTCCAAAGGTCCTGTACATCTGCATCTCCAGTGGAAAGGGAGGAAATACTGTTTCAAACACTTCTGAACCAGAGACACTTAGAATTGAGTTTAAGAAATTGCTGTATTCTAAGTACAAGGGCAGTTAGAAAATTCATCATTTGAGTTTGCTTTGGACCTCAGATCCAAACCTCAGCTCTGGTGGTGGAGTGGAGAGTGTTGGCTGATTTTAGAGAATTGCATCAAATTGCAGAATGGATTAGATCTTACAAATGCCTGTGTGCACACAGACACCCCACAAGATCTAGAGATTAAAATGTGTGAAGAGATCAAACACAGGTCAGGTCAGGGAAGGGTGCTTCTAGTTCTGTGATGTGCCAAAAACTCCCTATAAAGATTTACTTAAGAGTTTAGTGATGTGTAATACAGCTGCAAATCCCATAAAGTTTTCTCTATGTGTACTCCATGTCCACATGCTTTGCAGTATCACTGCAGGTGAGAGCAGAGTGAATGGAAGCACCAAATACATTCCCATACATTGAAATACTATTTATCTATTTGTCTGATGTGTAATATATAAAGTCATAACTTTCACACTTCAGCTCCAAAGACATGGGTCAAAAAGCCTTTGTTTATAAAAATGCAAACCTAGTTTTGGAGAAGTTGATCACTGACATGCAGTGGAGGAATTGTATAGAATTATATATTATATATATGAGGCAAAGGGATTTTTCAGAGAATGTGAATGTGACACATGAGCACCTGCCAGGCTCCAGCCACTGCCCTGCCCTTTGTAGCCTGTGCAGGAGGAGTGTAGGTGTGTATTTTCACAGTGGAATGTAAATACATGAGGAAAAGCAAATTAGTATTATCATTGATAAGCTCAAAACCTATTATGGAAAACAAATTGAATCTCAGAAGTTAAAAAATATGCCTTGTTGGCTTAAAGTTCCAGGCACATCTTCAGGTGCTGCACAGTGAACTTATGGAATTACAGATAGATAATTTCTTTATAATACTGTAAAAACTTTTTTAAAAGCTTCTTGTACAATAGTTTATGTATTACCTTCATCTCTGGTTAATATCTTACTAAACCCATCAAATACTAAAGTTAATTTATTACAGGGCAATAGTTTTGATTTGAGATAATGTAGTGTTTGAGTAGATAATATGCTATGAGCATTTCTTGATCAGGAAGGACATACCAACATAAAAGTGTATCAGCTGTGTCATTCAATTAAATTTCAAAAGGAAGGTGTGTGGCATACAGGAAATCTCAGCATGTGTTACTGAGAGAAGATATGCTACAGTGCATTATCATATCTCATATTTAAAACTGAGGTCTTTAAATGATGAGGCAGACCTCAGGATGAAGGCTGTGTGCAGGAATCTTTCACTTACAGTCTCCAAGGACAATTTAGTGGGTGGCTGTAGTCTGTCTTAAACCACAAGAGTTCATACAAGACTCTTTGCAAACCCTTCTTTTCTGCAGTACTGCAAAAGTCTTTAAAATATGTTTGGATTTTATCAGCCTCAGGTATGTCAGTGTCAGGAGACCATAACCTACCACATGCATCAATCACTTCAGGGTTTCAAAACTCCTGAGCAGCACCTGTGCCTCAACAAAGAGAGCAAGGTTTAACAGGGTCTGGAATAAGCTCTTGCTCTTGGTGAAGATGTTTTCAGGTGCAGGTGGTGTCAGCAAGGGCTGCTCCAGATGCAGGAGTGTTTGTTGTATTTGCAGGGTGCCCTGTGGCAGGGAGGAGTGATGGATCTGACTCCATCTTCTCAGAAGGCTGATTTATTATTTTATACTATATTATATTAAAGAATGCTAAACTAAACTATACTGAAATACAGAAAGATCCTTATAGAAGGCTAAAAAGATAATAATGAAAACTCCTGACTCTCTCCAGAGTCCTGACACAGCTTGGCCCTGATTGGCCAAAGAGTGAAAACAACTCCCAGCAGAATGCAATGGAACAACCACCCGTGGGTGAACAATCTCCAAACACATTCCACAGGAGCACAACACAGGAGAAGCAAATGAGATAAGAATTGTTTTCCTTTTCTCTGAGGCCTCTCAGCTTCCCAGGAGACAAACCCTGGGCAAAGGGATTTTCCAGAGGATGTGAATGTGACACAGGAGCACCTGCCAGGCTCCAGCCACTGCCCTGCCCTTCCCTGGCTGGCACTCACAGAGCAGACTCTGCTCCACACTGGCTTCTTAGTGTTTATCTCAAGGGAGAATAATACAATAATAAGAAAAAGTGATTTAATTTCTGTAAAGACAATTTAAAAACACACACTCATTTTCCAGAGTTGAAAATAATGATTCAGAAAAAGTCTTGAGGTGTAGCATGCATGAGCAGCATACAAATTCAGAGTGGTTCCACTGTGGGACTTTACAAATGTCTAATTTGGGTGTGGAAGGGTGTGTGTGTGCATACAGAGCAGGCATTAAAATGACAGTGTGCTGATTTGTCTGTGTATATTAGCATTTGTATATTGGCTTTCAATTAAGCTTTTTAATAGCTATGGGGAGCCCTCTGTTGGATAGTCTTAGGAAGCCCTGAACATGGGGAAAAAATAGACTTAATTTTTGATGAAAAAGAGGTAAGAGTATTTCAAGGGTTATTTCTGTTTCTGCCAGCATTTTGGCATAACATTAATCTAACTATTCATAGAGTTGTGTGTAATAGAAGTGGGAGATTGGGTATTTGGTATGATTCTTAATAAATTATTCTGTAGAATTTCATGTCTTTTTCTTAACATTACTTAGTGGATATGAATAACATTCATGGGTTTTGCAGATATGTGCAGCTCAGTTTTTTTATGTACAAAGCAGTGCAGTAAGTATCATAAATAAGTCTACTAAGCACCTGAATATTAAAAAAAACACATTTGGAAAACTAGGGCTTTGCTCCTGTGAAATGCTTGAGTGCATGCATTACTGGCTTTTTAAAAAGTCTAAGTAACAAGGATTTAGTTGTTAAAAGAAGATCATAGGCCAAAATACTTGTGCTATTGCATTTTTATATCTTTATTAAGGCTGCTATTCTGACTTCTTTGTCAAAAGCTGTGGAAGGTTTAGAAAAGCCTGGCTTTATGATGTTTTTTTCTTAAATTAACCTGTATCAAGTGGGTTTATTGCTTCTGTAAGAAGCTGGTATGGAATTGTATCTCTGATAGTGCATCATAATCCACACTTTTTAGAGGTACAGCTTCTGCACTAAAAGATCCCAGTGCAAAACAAAGGGAAATTCTGACATTTCTTGTTAATACACATTGCCTTGCTAAGCAGGGCTATCCTTTTCAATCTGTTAAATATTGAAATAGCTATCTAACACAAAGCACTGTGATTGACAGAGAAAGAAATCAGTATTTTTAGGGAGATTTAGGTGTTCAGGATACAGATATTTAACTGGTATGGATATTAAAAGCAAATATTGCTATAGCAGCAAGTCGGTGTTTTGTATAAATGATTCATGTACCATAGCATTCTGTGGTGAACATGGAAATTATCAATTTGCTCCAGACCAAACACTTTCCCCAAGCAGGTGTCTGTTGTCTCTGTGGTCAGATAAATGAGTCACCATTGTAGGCACTTGGCCCATTTACTCACTATTAACTTTAAATAACATCTTCTGCTTGGAGTGTAGCAAATCACAGCTGGCAGTGATGATGTATGGCCAGGCTGTTCACAAATCCTGATTTTCTTCTGTCATCTCAAAGCTCTGACAGCTTGGATTGGAGCTGAGCCCTGGCCTGAGGTTCACTGCATCCTCTCCAGGTGTTGCATTACTAATTGGATGCCAAGACCCTTTTGTTTCTGTACTGAGGCTGGAACTGCATTTGGTAGTAGGGAAAGTGGAGTCACAAGCTAAATACTTGTTGTAGTTTGCAGTCTCCTGCCTTGCACACAAGAGGCTTCCAGCATTTTGGAAAGCCAAAGGTCTTGCAAAGTTTGGTGAGGAGTAGAATGAAATTGAAAGCTGCTCCTCAAGAGGACAATAACCCAAATAAACTGAAGGAGTAAAGATCTGAGTCCTTGAGGCACAAATCAAGAGCAAATGTGCACCTGGGAGTGGTGCTCAGAGAATGGCAGCCCCATAGGGCTCCTTCTCCTGGGCAAGTGTCTCATGAGCAGCTGGCTTTTCTTCACACTGCAGGAAGATGCTGGGTCAGAATTGGTTCCAGGGCCCTTTGGGAGGTGGGAACTCTGCTTTCAGCTCTCCTAAACTGATCCCTGACTTGGGCTGGAAGTGATGACCTGACCCTGGGAAACAGCATCCAGTTCAGTCAGAGCCAGTGTGCTTCTGTGAAAAGAGTTGGCTCAACAAATCAGCATCTGCCACCTGGGAAATGAAAGCTTCCTTAAAAATAATGGAAGAAAATTGCCTGGAGTCCTCCTTTCTGCCCTTGCTGCTGTGTGGAGTCCCACCATGGCTGGGGAGAGAGGGCAGGGAGGGGACAGCACTGAGCATCAGGAAGGGGCAGGGCAGATGTCTCTGCTCACCCCTGTGGTCTGCTGGCTTGTTCTAGAAAACTGAAGTGTATATTTTATGTTTGGATTTGACAAGTTTCTGAGTAAAATTGGAGTTTATTGCATTTGATTTGCAGCCTGGTGGCTCTGGCAGCCTGACTTTGTGGTTTCCTGGCATTGCCATGTGCCAAACACATGGCAGGAGTTGATTGTTCTCTTGCAGTTGATCAGCAGGGCTTCTGCAATGTTTGGCAAATAAAAAATATTTCTGTGATCTTAAAATAAACATTGATTCTTCATGATGAGGCTTATACTTAAATAATAGAAATGTAAGAAAATCAGCCTGATTTAACTGAAATCAGATGTAA